CTCGAGTCGTTGGCAGTTTCTGTTTTATCAAAGTCTAACTTAACCTAACTTTTTATGTTTTTAACTTGTTTTGTTGATGTGTGAACATAAAGTGGAGTGTTTTCGTGAGTTTATCAACATGAAATAACTTATTTTAACATGGTTTTTAATGTAGGACAAACATTTAAAAATTATAAAGAAGTTGAAGAGACTTTGACATGTGAAATGTGCCAGTTTGTGTAAAATACTTAAAATTTGGTATTGTTCTGATTGCAAACTTATAAATAAAAAATGAGAGATATTTATTGTAATTTAAAGTTCGTTTTTTTTTAAAGATAATTCCCCAAGTCAAAAATTTAGTAACTATGTTGGCAACACAAGCCTTTTCTACATAAACAATTTGGAAGCATTGACATTTTTACATTATATTGCCAACATAATGTCATTTTGACTTTCATCTTTAAAAAAAAATAGTATGTATACTATTTTATTTACAATCATTCGAATTTTGAAATTTTTATTTGAATTAAAACTAAAAAATACAATAATTGACAATTTCATTTACTTTCGGCCCACGGGTCGAAAGTTTACTAAAAAATGCAATAAATTTTAAAAATTTCATTTACTTTCGGCCCACGGGTCGAAAGTAAACTTTCGACCCGTGGGCCGAAAGTAAAAGTCAAAAAAGTGATACTTTCGAACTTTACTTCAACATTACATGTATGATTGTATCTAAATAAACAGATTTTACATCCTGAACAGTATAGTTACATATTGGCTTGAAGTAAATTAATAAATACCTATTGAATTCGATTATAAACTGCTATATAAAGTGACAGTATTTTAAATTTGTTTAAATTCTCAGGGGTTTTCGGAAACAACAACCCTAGTTTACTATCATCTTATTGCAGATTAGTTCTAATCTGGGATGAGTTGTTCGATATTTCCGAACGCAAATCATTTATAAGGTATTTCGAACTTAAACGTAACTGTTATAGTTTGAAATGTTTCAGAAAAGTGACGAAAACATTAATAAACTAACCTAAAATACCAATCAGCTGATAAATAACGATAAAAACAATATCAAAACACCGGGATTCATTTAAATCCCGGTACAAGTGCGTCATATCCATGACGTCATCAAAACTACCGGTAAAAAATGTGTTACGGGTACCGGGATTCTAGACACAGCGTTTTAAAAAACATTTATTTTATTAATTAAAATACAATAGTGGCAAACGAAAATATGTGGATCAAATTGCTACAGCGAATGCCTGAAAACAAATGAACGCTCCTTAAGGGACTGCGCTGGCTTAAATAAGAAATATCTGCTGATGCCAGCATTTGCGTTGGCGGAATGATGCGATATTGTATTATGGGCCTCCAATCCTAATGATAATTTTATGCGATTAAATCCCAGCTGAATTAGCTGAAATCAACATTCGTTATACTGCCTAAAAAGCATTGAGCAAATAGGTGTGATTACCACCTAATCAGCCTAATAAGTAATTTGATAGAAACATTCTCCAGGAATTTGCAAATTAAAATTTATGGAAAATGCAACTAGATAAGGATCTTGAAGTCTAATTCATCATCAAAAAACGTAAACTTATATATTTTGGCCACGTACCACAACACTTTTCAGAAGAGGTGCAAATATCTTTGCTTTGAGGATATCTGACTTTCGAAGAAGTGGTACCTACTTAAAGAAGAAGAAACGTAATTAACTTAATCCATATTATATTTATGGAATATAAAGTTTTGAGAATAAGTCAAATTTCCTCTGGACTTAGGTATTTATTCCTAATTCGCCATTCGAAATTTCATAAATGTATATTTTAAATTTGCAACTATCAATTTGAAACAGTGATAATAATACAAGTTTGATCAAATAATAACTTTCTCAACCGCAAATTTATCAGGTTAGACTTCGTTAAGTATTTACTTACATGTGTGTGGGTAAGCGATAAACGAATGGTTAATGGAATATTCAGTGAAGCGAGAAAATGTTCCATTATCCCTGTCGCCACAGTGCGATTTATTGGGTTAAGCAAGAACCATATGCTACTCATCCGACTCATCCCATCTTACTGAAGGATTTTCACCTAGTCTTGCTCGAGTCGGTAAAGTCGAAACATGACAAATATTCCAAAGGTAAAGTGTGATGCCAAAGTAATTGTATTTGTCATTGTGTATATGCTGTTTCTGTTGGATAATGTTTTATTAACTGTTGTTGGTAAGTTTTGGACGATCTATTTGACTATTTATTTGGGGAATAATTTCATGGAATTTTAATTTATTCCACATGTTTAGAAAAGCGTTTTTTTTTTTTTTTCATTTATGTGAAAAATATAGGCGCAAAAAATGATAGGTACCTACGTGAGATATTAAAAAAGTAAATATTAGAGGAGGTATATTTGAAATTTTCTGTTGAAAAAATACCCAATAATTATTCAGATTTGAACAGTTAGTTCCTGCCAGTAGTGCTAGCGGCTCAACCGAAATATTGGCAATTTGTGGATATTAATGACTAAAAGGTGAGACTTGGTAAATCGATAGCATATAATGTAAAAATAAGCATTTTGACCCGAAGCACACGGTAAAAAACGTGTGTGGAGGGGGTAATCCAGTGGCGTACGTTTTTAAGGGGTTTATTTGGTTGGATTGAAAAAAAGTATGTTTAATCATTTAAATGATAATAGATTCTGCTCTTAAAAGACGTAGTTCATGATAAAATGTTTCCTTAAAGCTTCACTCAAAGTCTCACTCCCCCTCTTCTTCTTGCCAATGTCATAAATTTAAAATACAGATAAAATAGACCTATTTGGTTTGGAAATACAAATGAAAAAAATATTTTTTAGTACTTGTGCAATAAAATAATTGTACTTTTAATTAAATATTGGGTAAAAATAAAAATGCATATTTCGTCACAAAAAAAAAAAAACATTTATTGGATTATTTTGTTCCGTTAACTCATGCAAAATTTTGTCTTGAATGATCATAAGAGTAATTAATGTCCCGCACACACGTCTCAACAGACAAAAAGTGTTCTATTCTCTCTTATTTCTCTAGTTTTTGGCACATAGGTATATTTACGGATATTGGTCGCTGACCACGAATCTAAAGTCAGTTTTTTTCTATTGAATTTCAATTACGAGTTATCTATCATCATACAATCATAAAATGCTGACTGACCCAAACTAACCCGTCCGCCTAATGCAATCTAGCCCCTCGTAAGCTACCATTTTATTTTAAAAAAAAATGTTAACAGGACTAGATTGCACTAGACGGACGTTTTAGTTTGGGTAAGTCTCCATTTTTTTTTTTTTTTTTGTTAGAAACATTTATTCAATTCAGATTTACAATTATTTGCATATTCCTTATTAATTAAATCCTTTAATCAGTGATACAGTCACTGGTAACAAGGATAAAAAAAATCTAAAACTAAAACTAAGCAACAGTGATATAATATACCATACTATAACTAACTACCATAACTATAACTAAGGTAACCATAATTTGATGAAAATTTTTATTGTTTTTTGTGATTGAATCTCATGTAGCTAAATAAGCATGAAGCATTCTTTTAAATTTTGGAAATTTCTTTATTGTTTTGATTTGTGTAGGTAATGTATTATATTCTTTTGAAGCTTGGTACATAGGATTGTAAAGTCCTTTGTTAGTTCTGATCATCTCGTGGTAGATATTGCTGTGGTTTCTTGTGAAGTGATTATGAACATTTTCTGTATATAGAATTTCAGAGTTTGATTTTTGTTTATTATGTGTTATATTGTAAATATATTTACATTGCTCGAATTCTCTCAATTTATTTATTTGCATTACTCTCAATTCCTCATATAAACTATCTGTATGCGTTAGTCGATCATAGTTAAATAATACTTTCAAAACCCTATTTTGTAGTATTTGAACTCTTTGAAATTCGGTAACACCACAAGTACCCCATACGGGGAGTAAGTATCGGAAGTGTGACAAAAAATAGGCATTATAAATATTTAGTTTATTTTTATGGGATAAGTAACTCCTACATCTGTATACTGCTCCCACCATTGGTATTATTTTACTGTGAAGATGCGAAATATGCTCTTTCCAGTTGACATTTTCATCTATAATTAGCCCTAAGTATTCTATGTAGCTAACTCTTTCTAAAGGCACATTATTTAGTGTGAGAATAAGATGTTCAATCATTTTATTTTTTTGTTTAAAAAATATATGTTTAGTTTTTGAAACATTAATTTTGAGTTTATTATTTAATAACCAGTTAGAGTACTTAAATAAGTCAGAATTTATTTGTTGTTCTAAAATCTTCTCACAATCTCCACTGTACAACAAAACCGTATCGTCAGCAAATGTATAGTATTGCGCCTTTAATCCCGCCTTGTTCAGGCTAAGAACATGTAGTGAATATAGTAGAGGTCCAAGCACTGAGCCTTGTGGCACCCCACATTTAGTGTTTTCAAGAAAGCTAACATGCTCATTCAGTTTAACATATTGTGTTCTATTAGTTAAGTAAGATTCCAATAAGCCAAAAATTTGGCTACGAAAACCCAAGTTTTTCAATTTTCCAAGTATGACCTTGATTATTTTATTGACTCAATTTGGTTTGTGGCATTCATTCATCATTCATTTGCAAATGATGCTGTTTTTTTTTCTTAGATAACTCTCTTTAAAGTTGTCCATTTGAAAGTCATTCTTTGTGACGTGTCGTTTAGACTTGGCGAGCTTATCTTTGGCGTATCATTTACAGCTCTCGCAATACCTGCGGCACTGCCACTGAGCGCCCCCAAAGCACTGTGCCCGTCAATTTGTCAAAGAGAGGAATCGGTGGAATAATTCTTCCTTATTTCGGTACTGTTGAAGTGAACAATGATAATTATGACAAAAATTAATGTTCTGATTTAAATAGGGTTATGGGCCCAGATGTGCTCAAGAATTAAAATTAAAATAAAAAAGGTATAGTGAAGAAAGGAAAGTTACCAAAGTAAAATAAAACGAACGACAAAATGGCCAGTGAAAAAAGTAATGAAGAAATAGGAAACAGTGAGAAATTGAGAAAGCAGACTTTTGAAATGTGGAATTTTAAAGTAATAATATTGTGTTGAGTAGACATACGTAAATCTGAGATGGGTGGGGCCGTCTGCTATGCGGTCCACCAAGATATTTTCACCTGGGCCCTAAGAATTTTTTTTTTTCCAAAATTTTCAACTGAAATATTTTTTTGAATAATCATGAAACTGACAACATTTATTTTAATCTAGACTAATTGTAGAATTTGATAATTGGGGCCCATGACAGCTACAAAGAAAAATACAGGCCGTCAAACCTCTTTTTGTGGTTTGAGGACCGTATTTTTCTTTGTAGCTGTCATGGGCCCCAATTATTAAATTTCTATGATTCTAGAATTAGTCTAGATTAAATTAAAATAAAAATTTTGTCAGTTTCATGATTTTTCAAAAAGTTATTTCAGTTTAAAATCTGCAAATTGAAAAATTTGGAAAAAAAATTAAAAAAATTCTAAAAAAAATTTTTTAGGGCCCAGGTCAAAATATCTGGGTGGACCGCATAGCAGACAACCCCGCCTATCTCAGATTTACGTATGTCTACTCAAGTGCCGAACACCATGTATAGAGAAAATATAATGAGGATCAAAAATGCAATTTTTTTCAACCATATATATGCAGTGGCGTAGCAAGGTTGGACGGGGCCTCGGTGCAAATAAATTGCAGAGGCCCCCCAGTAAATATTTCTTTTTAATTTTTAATCTGGTAAAGGCGTGTTCAACAGTGGCAACTGTCATAGGCATAATAGGAATGCCTTATACACTTGAGATAAGTCACTTTCTAATATTCCAAATTTTTTAAGTAATAATTAGATAGTTTAGATGGTCCTTGGCTAAAGTAATAAGGTGAACATATTAGGGTATTAGGGAATGACTGACTAATTCAGAGTATTTGATAGACAATTTTTTACATTTTTAAACGATTGTCGATTCAGAAGAAAGAATATCGTACTTGCCTTTTTTTTGGAAACAATGGATTAATGTTCCACTTTCTTGCTAATTCCACTGCTTCACCTTTAATTTCTTCGTATGAATCTCTTAGTTTTAATACATTACTTCGAACTTTTTCTAAAACTTGGCTTTTGCCCCTGTGAGTTTTCGCCAGTAAGTAGGCATATTTTTCGTACAAATTCTTGCGCGTGGCTTCGGGGCCCCTTCATCGCCGGGGCCCCTTCATCGCCGGGGCCCCTTCATCGCCGGGGCCCCGGGGCGCCGCACCGAATTGCCCTACGATAGCTACGCCACTGTATATATGAAAGGAGCTCAGACATTTATTTGCACATAAGTAAACTTGAAAATTTGGCATAAAGACTCAATTCTTTGAAGCAAAAAACTAGTGAAGATATTTTCATTTCGAACATTTTTGAAAATTATTGGAAATGACATGGATTGAATATGAATAAAAAAGATTGTGAGTTTTTTGAGATGCCATTCGAAATATGTTTTAGAGCAAAGGCAGGTAAGATTTCCTTTTGATAATAGAACCAAAGCTACCCGATGTAAGCAGAGTATGTGGACGTGTTTTTAGTGCTCTCCTACTCAAAAGTTAAATTTACTTGAGAAAAAGTTTTTTATTATATTATTATTATAAAAATTTTCTGTGGTTTCCTTGATGGTAGTGGTGCAAGAAATATAACGATGTAAAAATTACTAAAACCTATCATCCCTTATTATGAAAAATACAGGTATGTCCTAAGGCATATTATAAATAGAGGAGATTATTGCATACCAGTGTCTGCAGTTTTTACGGGTATCCCACTAAGTTTGGCAGGTTTTTTACACAGCCTGAATAGAACGGTACCGCTCGATAAACAAAAAAACTTATTGTTCGTATTTTTGTAGGTATTTACTTACTTGATTTGAGTTAACAACTATTTTTATTGTGAACACTTGGAACAATTTTCATTAAAATTACTGTGTAAATGGCAGGTCAAGTAACTTTAGAGAACATTAAATCACTTTTAGTGGAAAACTCGAATCGTGTGAAATCTGAACTAGTGCGAAAATTGGATGACATTTTTGAAAAGCATTCAAAGAAGAACAAAAAACAATACAAAGAACTTAGTGAACAGTGCTTGCAACTTGAACGGAGAGTACGTGAAAACAATATTTTGATCTTTGGTTTCACTCCAGAGAATTCAAATAATATATCTAATGAAACAGTGGAAAAACTAAACTCGTTATTAATTTAAACTTGAGTTTAAAAGAAGTGAAAAACATTTACAGACTTGGAAACAAGGAAAATTCGCCCATCGTAGTTGAGTTTTTATTATTCATTAGAAAACTAGATATTTTCAAGGATAAAGAAAAATTAAAAAACCTGAAACATTTAAAAATATCAATAGCTAACGATCCATGCCCCTCTGATAGAGAAGAACAAAAGATATTACTGAAACATATCAGGAAAAATTGAGACAATAATATCGAATGAACAATCAAAGGTTTTAAGCTACAAATAGGAAATAATAGCTATTCTGCGAAAGACCTGGAAGAACCTAATACTAACAGTGACACAGAGTATGACACAGAGGAAGACTGGCCTGATACAGGAAAAGAACGAGAAAATAACAAAGAAAAAACTCCAACACTAGCAGAAAACCAAAAAAAAGGAAAAAAAAAAAGAAAATACGTACACCCCCCAGTCCAGCTCACACTAGAAACCAAGGGAAGAAACCAAGAAGACATCAATAACATTTCATGTTTCATTAAACAACAACAAATTATAGATTACTCGGATCACTCCCAACATTAGTTTAAGTTGAAAATATGTGGATAATTTATTTTATAACATAACAGTCTGATTTAAAAATATATACATACAAAACCTATATACACACCTGAAGAGAAAACACATATTTCGCAAAAAAAAAAATAATAATAAAAAAAATCAATATACTTACCTATTTTTGGTGTACATATTATTTCTGTATATTTGCATGTTTTTCGGTTTTACTCAGAAGTTTGTGTGTTTTCTATTGTTGTTCTTAAGTTTATTTTAGAAAACCTCACAGAATTCTTTTTTTCTGATTGTACCTATTCAGTATTGTTTTGACAGAAACATTTCAAATTCTCGACTTATCGATTCATAAACTAAGCGGGTATGAATTAATTTATAATGAAGGTGACTTAAATTCCCACGATGGAGTAATAGTTTATTTGGAAGATAATATACCATATAATTATAAAATTGAAAAAATTGGTATGCAGAAGAGTATTTTGTTGTCACTTAAGTTTTTTGGAGTATCCATAGATATTACAGGAATTTATAGATCACCTTCCACAACAAAAAAGAGATTGTTGAATGTTTTTCGAGATATATTAGGAATTCCAGTAAAAATAGTGACTTGCACTTTATTTTAGGGGATAAGAATATAGATATTTTAGGTAATTACCAAGAAAAAGAAGACTATTTGAACAGTTTATATGAAGAAGGTTTTATGTCCACTATAAATATAGGCACTATAGTTGGGCCACCGAACAGAGATAGTAATAAAACCGAGCATTCAACCTCTGAGGGGCTTGACAGGCAATAGACGAGAGGATTTGTACCCAATTTATACCTTCTTATAATAAATAAAATTTATTAAATTCACGAATTCATATTTTATGAGGCAATATGCATAAAGGGTTTCATCTGACATTCACATTCCAATTACTGAATTATTTTGAGTTAAAATAAACGAAAGACAAAAAAACATCAGTTTCAAATGCGCTCCACTCTCCACTATGAAAATGTCTGCTTTTAAGAGGGTGTCGAGATTATTTATGTGGGCCAGTTACCAGGTAATCGTTTTATTACTATCTCTGTTCGGTGGCCCGACTATAGACAACAAAATGGTATTTTGAGCTGTATAGACCATATATTCTTGAGAAAGAAACCACACATACACTGTTTGAAAATTATACCTGTTGCATTCGAATCAAATGTCACAGATCATTATGTAACTTTTTTACAATTGGTGTTTTCAGACAAGACTAAAACAAAAGACGAGCAACTGCAAACAACTAAAACATTTTTCAATCGGGAAAAATTTATTGAAAACATTAAACACGAAACATGGGAGGATGTATACCAAGAAAAAAATGTAAACATTAGTACAGATAACTGTATTAATACGATTAAAAAAAACATAGAAAATTGCACAAAAGTCACCAAAATAAATTTTACCATAAAAAAAGAGTCATGGATAACTTTTGGATTAATTAGATCTATCAAAACAAAAATTTTCAAAAATCCAACAGATCAAAATGTGACTGTGTGAGAGAATACAAAACCTACAGAAACAAATTACACTCATTTATTAAAAATACAAAGGCTGAATATTATCAAAAACAAATAAAAAATGATAACTGCTCAAAAGAAATATGGGACACGGTTAATAAAATTTGTGGGAGATAGAAAAAAACCGAAATAAAAGAACTAAAAAATGAAAATGGAGAAATACCTACTAATAGAAAAGCAACAAATTGCAAATTATTTTGTTAACTATTTCACAAATGTCGGAGAGACGTTAGCAAAAAATATAAAAAGATGTACACAACAAAATAATAATGAACCACAATCAAATATACAACAACATATGAATCCTCAACAAGTAAACAATGAACAACAAACAAATAATAATAAAAAGTTTTGTTTGAAGAGAACAAATTGTAAAGAAATAATAGAGACGATAAAGGAGTTAAAAAAGAAAAAATCTCCGGGATATGACAAAATCACAGCTGAGTTAATACAATCAGTATCAGAAAATATCGCACAACCTTTAAAATGTATTAAATAATTAAAGTCTTTCAAAGCAGGAATATGTCCAAACTCATTCAAAACAACTAAATAATAAAGCCTTTGCATAAATCTGGAGACAAAACAAACGTCTCCATCTATCGACCTTTGTCTTTGATAACAAATTTTACTAAAATTTTCGAGAAACTAATAAAAAAACGCTTGACAAATTTTCTGGAAAGTCAGAATATATTGGCTGAACAACAGTATGGCTTTAGACAAGGAAAATCGACAGAAGACGCAATAGAGAATGTAACAACGCATATTTATAAAGCTTTGGATAGAAGAAAGTCTTCTCTGACAGTTTTCATCGACCTTTCTAAAGCATTCGATACAGAAGAACATGATATACTCCTAGAACAGATTCGAGACATTGGAGCAAACGAACCAGCCCACAGGTTATTTAAAGATTATTTATCTGACAGAAGTCAGAATTTGTAGAAATGGAGAAAACAAAAAGTTACAAAAAAACAATACCATGCGGGGTACCACAAGAAACAGTACAGGGCCCAATATTATTCAATATACAGGGTGACTGGTAAGTGGACGTATTCCTTTGAGGAGGTGAAAGTAGAGCCCATTTGCTACCGATTAAACATCATTTACCTGTATACCATTCTCGACGGTTTTGGAGATATTTTTTATTTTTATTTTTATGAGATTGAAATTTTGGGAGCTAAATATTTAAAATTAACGAAATAATAAGGAACATACCTTATTTAGGTAAATGTTAACACCAATATTTGATAACATTTTCATTGTAACACTTGGTATTAAAAACAAATCGAGTAATTTTTTCTTCATATTGGTTACTCTTACAAATAAAACTTATTTATTTAATAATAAAACAAAAGACTAATTCTGAAATAATGTGCCTTATTCTGAAGACAATAATATCCAGAACTTTTATTAATAATTTGTACGTTTGATGCACTATGAAATTTTCGAAATGTTTAAGCATAAAGTAACCATTAGTTTGTAACTTGACAAGAAAAGTTAAGTTTAAACCGAAATAATTTAATAGTTAATATTATTGTTTCAATAATTTTCAATGCTGATATTTGTATAAATGTGTCAGCTTATAATTTAAAAAGCGACATTTAAAATGGCTTTCATTATTTTCCCTAATTTTAAAAATTTACTGCGCAAAGAAGCGAATATCTTGGAAATTGAAAAAAAATAAATATCTCAAAAACTATTGAGAATGGTATAGAGGTAAATGATATTTAATCGGTAGCAAATGGGCTCTATTTTCACCTCCTCAAAGCAATACGTCTACTTACCAGTCACCCTATATATGTACACAATCTCTTTAACCCTTTATAGGGCAGAATATTGCAGTTTGATTTTGAACTAAATAAGAATGAGTTTGAGTTTATTACGGTCTAGAAAAGAGGTATTGTTCGTTATTTTGATATTTTTACTGTTTTTTTGTGTTTTTTTGAGGTGGTTGATTTTTCAACCAGAGTCCATTCGGGAATATCGAAATGACAGTGGACATCTCATATCAAACAGGTCATTTGGCTCCAAATCTGCAATTTTTTCCAAACACAATTTTTTATCCATCGTTTATCCCAAAAATATTTAAAAATCAGGAAAATCTAAACTAAAATGATCACCTATTTTTTTAAATTATATTTTGATGTTAGGTCAGAACTAACGTACAAATATTTTCCCTGCGACAAACCTTATAAACAAAACAATTATGTAATAACAATCTTATATTAGTAGATAACTCACCTGCAAAATATCAGGCTACGAAGTAGATAGTAGAATCAATTTTTTAAAATTTAAATATCAAAATTTTTCCGTAAATTTTGCATAAAATAAATTCCTTGAAATAAAAAACCTAAAGCCGCTTCTTCCGATTTGTGTGAACTTTATTTTTCGATGAAAATAAAATGAATATAATTAATGCACGGAAGTTGAAGAAATACCTATTTTTCTAATATTGTTTATTATTTCGAGAGACTTGTTTATCTTTCTGAATCCAAGTGAATACGTACTTTTATCAGTTATCATGCATTGTGCGCGGTATCGGCCGTAATAATATGGCAACGTTGCTCTCAATGGGTCCTATGATTGAACGTTTACGTTAAAATTAACATAAACCTGTTATGTTAGGCTAACAGGGAATAGATAACATATAAAATAACAGTGAATGTTATATCGGTATGATTGACGAAATCGATAACAGAAAATGTTAAGCTGGCTGTTAGGAATGGAAGAAAGTATTTGTACCTAGCTTCACTTTGGTTTCAAAAGTGAAGTTTTTCTTGAAACAACAATAACAAACAATTAAATTACATTTTTTTGCAGCTCATTTTACATGTTATTCAATTTATTGGGACGAAAAGATTATCTAAAATAACTGTGAAACAGTGTGGGGACATTTCCAAATCATATGAATGCCCTGGGTGTTTTCTCGCGTTCACTTTTTTGAAACTGGTTCAAAACAGATTTGAAATAGTATATTCTCGCGATAAACCCATGACGTCATACAAAATTGGTTCAAACTGTTTCAAACCAGTTTTGAAATTTTTTTCAAAACTTCGAGACGCGAAAAAACACCTCCTGATGAGTGGACATCATTTGTACACGAAAATAAAAGCACTACTAGAACCATTGCCTTATATAAAATAAAAAACAGTTCCAACTACCTACTAAGAATTATTCAGAATAAATTTTTAGAATTTAGACCTTCAGTTCAATTGGAATGGATGAAATCCTTAGTCTGAGGAATATTGAAATGAAGCAATTATAATACTGCACCGATTCTTTTGGAACTTTTGGAAGTCTAGTATATTTAGTAATAAAAACTTTTCAGGAGTTGACCCCTGGTATGCCTTCTTTGAGTGTCCAATTCACTCCTCAAATAGTGAATTAATATTAAAGTTTTGTACCTCATAATTGATTAACATAAAATAGTAATGAATCTTATAACCTAGGTACCTCCTAGTTTGATTCTCTTCTTGTATTATGTGAATTAATTACCCCGTCATTTAAAAAATAAAATAAGAAAACATTGGTAACATGTACGTTAAGCACTTAACGGCATGTTATTTGGAGCTGTTGAGGAGATATGTTAAATTAGAACATAACAGGCGGGAAATAACAGTAATCTGGTATGAAAAACTTTCCATCATACGAACTTGCATCGTTACTGTTAAAACTCGGCCTAACATGTACGTTACGGATAACGTAAACGTTCAATCATAGGACCAATAGAGAGTTTTCGTTGTATTGCCAAATTCGAACGGTTAACCATAACGAATACGAAAACAAAGTCGCTATTTGACAGATCGTAAAAATAGTTTTCGTTCAATCCGCTTAACGTTAACGTTAAGTCGAATTCGACAAACATAACCTTTCTTTAATGGTTTGTGTTTATCATTGTGTTTATATACGTTTTGTACTTTGTTTTAATTTCCTTGTACCCAAAATTCATTAATTTTCCCTGTGGGATTTACAAAATTGGCTACTACAAAAGCCTATATAGATGCATCGTCATATGGGTTGTTGGCCAATATTTCTTCTAATAAAATAGTAAATGATAAAGAGAAGTTCATGTCCTATATCCAATGAAGGGGGGTAATTTGTCGGTTAGGACAAGAAATAAAAGGCCTGTCAAGTCTTTGCCAACGTTTCGCCCAAAAGTTTAGGGCTTCATCAGGGCTTGTACTTAAAAAATTATGTGGCCAGAATTATAAAAAATAGTGCGAGATTTTCAGGATGGAACACTCGATTGAAGTATTGAATCTATTTCGAAAACCAAAAACATTTAAAAACAAAAACAAACCACAACAAAAACATAGGAAATACGCATGCTTTTCGTTTTCGCTATGGTTTTGTCTTCCGTCCGTAAGCTCCCGGCACTTATCGGTAACGATAACGATAAATGATAGCTCAAATGTCAAATTTGTCAAATAGCGGCTATCGGAATCGTTTTTAAAAGACAACGAAAACTCTCTATTATCTCCACGGAAAGCGAAATAAATTCGAAATAAATTTGGAGAGCAGCGCCGCCTATAGGTAAAAAACACTCCGTAAACTTTACGCTTCTATTCACCGTATATTATTCTATGGTACTAGCCGACTTAAAAACATGCATTCATTTTTCACGCTTATAAGCGCGAGTCGGCGCTGGCTACCAGTAAGCGGCAACCTGCTTGCACTGTGTTTGTACACTTACTGTGAAATCTTCATAACTTTTTTGTGTATGATATGAAAATAATTGATTTCCGCAAAAACTTTCTTATTATTATGACCAGGCACATTTTTTAAATCAAACAATTCTGTTGAAACTATAGTGAGATTTTTTTTTTCTCGAATCTAATTCATTTTATTACTTTTTAGTGCCAATCATACCGGACTACCTATTCTCCAACATCCTGAATTACACTAATTTAATTCGCGATAATGCCACCAAATACGCGCCCACCTCACTGAGTCCTCTACAAAGAAAATACGAAAACCTGGAAGAGGACACTGGTCCTGTAGGGGCCTTACTGGCATCCAAGGCTTTTGTACAATTGGCCTTTACACCATTAGTGGGATATTTGACGCAAGTTTTTGATTGCAGCCTTCCTTTACTTGTTGGATCTTGCAATATGTTAGTTGCAGCGATATGTAAGCTTATCTAAATAAGTAATATGACTCTTTGAAATCATGTCACATTATCACAGCATAGACATTCTTAAAATGAATAGTAAAACCGAAAAACGCCAAAACCGAAATCATTATGCCTAGCAATAATTTTCAATAGCAAGGTCAGAGATGCCGGACATGTGTACGCAGAGGTCAAAATTTTAGGGGGAAGATTAGTGGTAGCCAATTTTTGAGGCCAGTGAATTGGTACCTAACCATGAATAGTTCTAACTAAAAAAGCATACATTCAACACAATGCCTGCCAATTGTTAATGAGTTAAAGTGCTACTTTACACTTGCAAAAAAGTGCGGTGAAGTGCACTTCCGCACGCTTGTAGGTAAAATAAAGTATTCCATCTAAAGTCTGTTTTTTTTTTTAAAGATAATTTCCCAAGTCAAAAATTTAGTAACTATGTTGGCAACACAAACCTTTTCTACATAAAAAATTTGAAAGCATTGATAATTTTACATTGTGTTACCAACATAATGTCATTTTGACTTTTATCTTCACAACCGTGCGGTAACAAAATATCCGAAAGAAGTTTAAAAAATTATAGTAAATAAAATTGCTTCACCTTTGACAGTGGACGAGTAGAATTTAGGTGATAGGTAGGTAGACAGGTAGAGCGTGCGGTAATAATCTTTTTCTACTGACGTTTCATAATAGCAACTTTTCGATTGTCATTTTAGTTTTGAAATGACATTCTTTTGAGCACTCAGTGCGTAAAAGTGACTTTTAGGCACTCAGTGCGTAAAAGTGACTTTCCAGTGCGTAAAAGTGACTTTCAAATGCGTAAAAGCGACTTTCAAGTGCGTAAAAGTAACTTTTAAGCACTAGTGCCTAAAAGTGTTATTCATTGTTCAGAAATAAAAAACACACTAAATGCAAATTTGAATTTTGTTTTGTATTTATTATGAATATTAGTCACCAACATGAAAGGTGTCAAGCAAAAGCAGGCGACAAACATTGAAATAAAATTGTGTTTTTTTATTATGAAACGTCAGTAGAAAAAATCTTGTATACAATACGTTACGAAACGAAATCTTTTAGTCACTCGACGTGTTGTCCAACTCGGCTTTGCCTCGTTGGACAATTTTCACGTCGCGTGCCTAAAAGACACTCATTTCGCAACTTATTGTATAAATAGCTATTTTCTACTAACGTTCCATAATACGCTATTAAACGATTAAAATCTGTTTCATAATGAACTTCATTATGATATAGATTTTCATTATGATACAGATTTTTCAGCCACTGAAGTCGAGTTATTTTGAACATGAATATGGTTTGTATAAAAATAAGAGACTTGTTTTGGATTATTTCTATTAGAATTTACCAAAAGAAACAAAAAGCGTTAAAGCTCTTTTTGACCGAGGTGCATACAAGATTTTATGCACGATGAGTATGTTTTCATTTTGATATTTAAAAAATTATATATATTCAATTTTCTAATGACATCAATCACAAAGTTCCAAAATTTTCATCTTTACCGCAATAGGTCGTAAGTTTTTGTCAAATTTAGATCAAGAAAGCAGTTCTTGACAACTGTGACGTAACTGTTATAGCAACCCAGAACAATACAAACAAATAGTTATTTGTTTTACTAGGCAGAAAAGTAAAAGATTTAATGCCGCTGCTGGTGTTTCATAGCCGAGGCTAGGAAACCAGCCGAGGCATTAAATCTGCTTTTCTGCCATGTGAAACATATAATTTTTTCTCCGAATGTTCAAATTCACACATAGACATCTTTTTTATATTCATTTCATTCATTATTATTATTCAAATAATTAAATTATTTTGACAATTGTCATTGTCACCATCAATTTCAAATACCAAATTGAGTGAAATTATTACCTGGAACGTTGTGACACTGTCATAGACTAAAATATTAGGCAATTCAAACCACGTGACACTCAAGTTGGCGTGGCGGCCACACATTTCCGATGAAGGCAGATTCGGTAGGTATTTGTTTCATTTTCACTTTCATAACCTCAGTTTTATAAGACCAGCAGAGCTATCAGCGGTCACGAGTGAACTAAAAAAGCTGGCTCAAAGCGGTAATATGAGTGCGCGGACCATGGACACTGTCAGCATAAACAAGAATATTCACAGGTTCAAGTTAACCCAAGCGGAACTGTGATTGAACCCCTATTTTTTAGGTATGTTGAATCATCATCATCATCATAGGCAATCACTCGATACCGAGTATGATTACCTTCTATTCTATTCTTCGTCGATTGTTCATTTTCTGATGGCTATATGTGAACCCATTCACTAGATTCTAGGGGCTGCCCCCCCGTGGGCGAGTTGATACCATTGCCAAATGTATCGTAATTCGTAATAAGTGCGTGCTAGTCTGTATATTGATATTTTAAACGAAAATAAAGCTCTAAGCCAATTTAAACTAAGCCGTTTTCTTAAAATTCTTTTAAAAAAATAAAAATTAGTGCTTAGTTTATGCTGGAACTAAAAAATATATTAGTAATAAGGAAAAGCATCAATCAAAAATATGTATACAATACACACACATGTTCCAAATAGATTGCAATTCTTACTGCGATTGGCGCAAATTTCTCAATATTATTTGGTATTTTCATTTATTACTTATTCTTCACAGCATAAATACACCCCAAATGTTTCCTTATAATTTATTTTGATAAAAGTGCAGTATAGCCCGGTCGCATTTTTGTATCGAGCGTCCAGCAACCCGCATTCGGGGTACCCGACCTCGGCACGTATCAAGCGCACGGTAGTACGAAAATCACTCGGACTACCGTATGCTCGATACTCGCGACTCGCGCCTACAGTCTCGAATATCTTTTTGGTTTTCCTGGCTCCTCACCATCAAGCTACTTGATAATAGCTTTGTTCGCGGGTCCGATTCCGAATTGGTTCAGAACTAATTCGGGATTGTCGTAGAGCGCATGCCTAGTTAAGAATCGGTTCAGGATTTTTTTTTACCGCGAACGATTTTGGAACCGAAAACTGAATACTTTTAACATTATGTGATTTGTGAATCTTATTAGCTATTCGATTTCCATAAATCAAAAAGAATAACAGAACAGATATAATATTTATATTTATTCAAAATTCGAAAATGATCTATACATTGTTCATCCCTGAAATATGGCATCACTTTAATTACATTGCTTTTAGGAACTTAATCAAGCTCTAATTCTGCCTTGTCCTCATCGTTAGATGACAAATGGTCCGACTAGTAGGTACTTATATGAAAAAAAATCACTAAAATTGTGCATATAAATAAATATATTAGATTAAATAGAGATAAGTAACTTACAATACTGTACAGCAAATTCACTAAACTATAAACTCCGTAGGAAAAAACTAGCGTATAGTCTATCGCTTCAGCGTATTAACAATTAAAAAACCCAAATTTCAATAACGCAAACAAAAATAAACACCAGCCAGCTGACAAGTCTGACGAAATTGCGCATGATCAGCCGAACCGAACTTTTAGTCCTAACAAAAATCCTGGGACTGCTAGAACCGATTCCGAATCAATTAAAACCAATTCTATGTGATCCGCGAACGTAGAACTGTTACTAAAAATTCAGAATTTTATTATCCGCGAACCCACTTTTTACACTGCGCATGCGATTAGTCCCTGAACCGATTCAGAATCGGACCCGCGAACAAAGCTAATATGTATTAGTTTAATTTTGGTTCTGGTAGTCAAATCGTAAAGCAATTTTAATTCTAGTAGTTCACTAAGTGGAATGGAAAGTAGCAAAAAACTTAAAGATTAATAAGATTTTGCTATTTGCCTAGTTATTTGATGCTGTCTCTAACAAACTATCCCAAACTAACCCTAAGGCTGTCCTTACCTTAACCTTTTGCTCAGCTCCAATTTGGGTTAGTTTTGGTTAGTTTTGTTACTTAGAGACAGCATCATAATAGCTATTTATACAATAAGTTACGAAATGAGCGTCTTTTAGGCACGCGACGTGAAAATTGTCCAACGAGGCAAAAAACATCGTTTCGTAACGTATTGTATACAAGATTTTTTCTACTGGCATTTTATAATAAAAAAACACAATTTTATTTCATGTGAATAAGTCGATTACACCCAAAATCTTTGTTACCTGCTTTTACTTGACACCTGACACTTTTCATGCGATTTTCTTTTCAAAATTCGACATCAATAATTAAAATCCTAGAAAGTAGGTAATAACACAAACTTCTGTTTTGAGTAACCCAAACGTTCAATTCAGTAATTCCATTTTCAATATTCATAATAAATACAAAACAAAATTCAAATATGTGTTTAGTGTGTTTTTTATTTCTGAATAATGAATGACACTTTTAGGCACTAGTGCTTAAAAATTACTTTTACGCACTCATAAGTTACTTTTACGCATTCAAAAGTCACTTTTACGCACTGAGTGCCTAAAAGTAACTTTTACGCACTGAGTGCCTAAAAGTAACTTTCACGCACTCAGTGCCTAAAAGAATGTCGTTTCAAAACTGAAATGACAATCGAAAAGTTGCTATTATGAAACGTCAGTAGAAAAATAATGATTTACATCTGCCTGAATCTAATCTCCGCATTTGTCAAATAACGATTGCAGGTATACAAATCCAAATAGCAAAACTCTTGTTAATTTTTACCTGCTTTAAAAATTCGATTTTTAAATCGTTCTAACATATTTCAAAAAATAGGCGTTTTTTTTTGGAGAAAAAAGTATACAGATGATAATGTCATTGGAAGAATGGCTAACACAATAATTCAAAAATGTTTTCGAAAAAACGTGAAAGTGGCCTATTCTATCTCGCCATGGTATTCTATTCATGGTAAGGTTATGTAGATAAAACATAATTTTGCACTTACTTATTCCCTTACCTCGACTTCCTGCTTAGTCTTGAAATTAGTTCGTATTTCGCTGGAATCGACAATGTGGTACATATAATTTTCTGGCCAGTGCATAATAAATGATAAACAATTAAAAAAAAAAAAAACTGAATTGTTGGACGCCGATCCATAATTTCGCAGAAGACTAGTATCAAGCGTACGGTAGCTTGACAATCGATCGGGAAATCAGACGCTCGTTATGAGACAGGCCTCGGTTAATACGACGTTACCCGAATGCGGTATACTGGGCGCTCGATACAAAAATGCAGCCCGGTCATCTAAAATAGTATTTTTTTTAATAAGAATCGTTTGTTTAACGTTCAAATAGTGTATTGTGAAGTGAATGTTTCAGCGGAAATCTTAAATTGAAAAATTACAAATTAAAATTGTACTGAAAATACTGTGTTTTTACTACTAACCTGAGAAGTAGTCGTTATTCCATCAATTTTTCTGGGAAAAAATTGAATTTCTCTCCCTGGGTAATAATGAAAATAATGAAAAAATACCAATGGAAATGACGTTATGACGCAAGGATATTGTCATAACGTAACAGGTTTCTATTGGTTTAATTTCAGTGTCAAACTGTCAATTTTAAAATAAGCAGGTTTCTGTATGTACATTATAGGAAATTACCGTAAGGTGTTGATAGAGGGCAGCACTTCCGACAAGAGAAAATAATTTGAGCACAAAAAATTTATATATCCCTAGGTAGAGAAAGTCAATATATACCTCACGCATTATAAAAGCTCTCGGTATATAATGACCAACTTCTGGAATAAAAACGTTTAGATTTCTTTTCCTCAAAATGCCCGCGACGTTGAATTAGCTAAAGATGTATGGACGATACTTGGGGAAATAGGAGCGATAGATTGTACCCACATAAGAAACAAAAAGAACCTATTTGAGGTTAAAGGGGGTGTGCGCCAAAAAAACAACTTCATCTCAAAAAAAAGATAAAAAAAAATTAAGAATAACAGTGAAATCCGCTCCCCTCTATGACAAATAATACCGCAGATATGGCTCTATGAAGGTACCGCATCTCACCCTATGACGTCACGAAAGCTCAAGCGACGCAGGAGAAAGTGGATTTAATTAAATTTATATAATGTTTTTCCTGTGCTACCTGCAATAATCTAAACAAAAACCACTCACGCGTGCCGGGAACAATCAAATTAACAATGCAGAGCCCGCTGGACCAAGTTTTCGTGACGTCACGAGAGCGTCGTCCACACTTTAAAGCGGTATATCTCAGCGATGGTTTATCGTAGAATAACGAGGTTTGAACAGTTATTCTTAGATTTTTTTACACTAAAACTTTAATTTTTGGCGCACACCCCCTTTAAGCACGACCTAGTACTACTAGTTTATACTTCTAACCTAAGTAAACACTTCCCATGAAAGAATTTAATTCATGTAAAAGATTATACCCCACATATTACTAGGAAGTAAAAGCTCTTACTTGATGTACAAACAAATACTCTTTTTAATCATACTGGCCATTATTTGAATTTCACTTTTAGTATTTGCCTATGGTAACTCCTATGGGATCCTAGTGATCGCCAGAGCTCTACATGGTAGTTCCTCAGCCGCAATCGCAGTCAGCGGTATGTGTATATTAGCTAAGAACGTACCGAAATGTTCGAGAAATAGCCTAATGCCTATAGCATTTGGGGGAATAGCACTCGGGGTTCTAATCGGATACCCTCTGGGAGGCGCCGCATATCAATTGTTGGGGAAACCTGCTCCTTTTATGATAATTACGTTCTTTATTCTAATAAGTATTGGTAAGTACAATATGTCTCGAATCTATTTGAAAATATCTATTGACAATTAGGTTGATTTAAGTTTTTATAGGTTTTAAATTTCTTTAATCCGAATGAATGTTATAGTCGCTGTTGACGCAACATTATTTATAAATTTGGTTTCTTCTCATTCTTATTAAAGAATTATTTAAATGTCAATTTCGCGCAAAACACACAGGAGTGTATTTTCTACGACCCTGCGCCGACCGAGGCAGCCGTTGAATTGGATTTACACTACACACAAGATAAATGGTGGTTCATATGCACGTTGCAATTTTTTCGTGTTCCGTGTTTTAAGATCGAAAAGTCTATGTCTTGTACCGTTAAAAAGGGATCTTGAGTGCCTTAAGTCGATGCTGATACGTTGGTGGTTGTGGAGAACCATTTTCCAGGGGATCCCCGTATACACAGTGTGTAAAAAGTCCCGGAACAGTCAATTATTTTGAAAATGGTGCACAATATTCGTTCAACATGAATGTTGCCTCATCCGAAAAAACTATTTGATTAAAAAAATTGTTATTTTCTTCCTGTTTTTGCATCATTACTTCGCAAAATTCCAATCTACGATCGAAATCGTCTTCTGATAATTCCTGGACAAGAGTTATTTTATAGGGGTGAAAATTACTTGTTTTTAAAATATTCCCAATTGACTTAAAACAAACATCAACTTGGGTAGCAGCTTTTCTCAGTGACAAATGTGGATCCTGAACAAAATGAAGTAATGTCTCTAATTTTTTTTCATCATTAGTTGCCGACTTTGGTCTTCCAGAACGAACTTTATCCCTGCAACTCCCGGTTTCCTCAAATCTTTGAACTGTTCTCACAACTGCAGATTTTGATATAGGCTGTCGGTTTGGAAAAGTTGTATTAAATAATTCCTTTGTTTCATTAACTGATCTTTGTCGGTCTCCAAAACCTCTTATCATTAGTAAAGTTATACGTTCCCTTTCGCTGAGAGACATTTTCAGAATTTACTTTGACAGTGACGCAAAAAATTCTAGTACCAGCTTGTAAAAATGCAAAATGTAGGTAATATCCACTAATATCGTACTTATCGTATTTATGTCATTCAACTCAAATTATTTCTGAAACTAATGGGTTTAGCCATATGACATATTTCATAATTGTTGTTTAGAATCTCTAGAGGAATTAGAAAATGTAATTAAAAAAGGATCATTCCATTGAAAAAAAATGAAGTTTTGTGATGCACAACTTTTTGGTCCACCCTGTATAATTACAAAAGTCCTATTTCAATAGATTTTATTAAGACCTTCAACTTTTATACAGGAAGTTTTTTTATATTGTGCACCATTTTCAAGATAATTGACTGTTCCGGGACTTTTTACACACTGTGTATACACACAGCTTATAAGAAAACTCAGGTGAGTGGAAATAATTTTTGTGTGTTTCGACAACCCTATGGTATCATTTTCATTTCTATTTCTCTTTGTTTGCGCGATTTTCCAGTCGCAGTCCAGTTTACTAAATTTCAAATACTATTGCGTACCTGTTGTCGAAAATAAATTTTAATTTTTAAAAGAAAGTAATATCTAGATAAAATTAAAATAATTTATGCAGGAGTTCACTTTTTACTAAGCATACCCAAAATAGATACCAAAATCGCCAAATACCATACCAGTATTACCAAATGTCGTCTTTTATTGGTGCATAGGGCAGGCACGGAACCTACGCTACGCTGCTATCACAGCTAGTCTCTCCATTTCATTTCAAAGTCTCTCCATTTCATTTCAATTTTCTTTCTCGTTTCCGTACTTTCAATACAGTACCGCGGTACTACAGTGGTGGCATACGAGGCATTGGCCAAGCATCGCACGCCGTTGCTATGACGCTTTTTCAGTCGCAGCCGCGAGTCGCAATCTTTTCAGAACCGCTCAACTAGACTTATAGTCAGGGAGCGCGGTCTATTTACCAACACCAATACATAATAATTAAAAATTGTGGAAATATATAAGTATTAAAATTTACTTAAAAAATCTTTTATTAGATAATGGATTTCCACCAAGTAAAAGCCGATTCAATCAAAAAATAAAATTATTTAATTTTCAATTTTCTTTCACTTTACAATTACAATTACAATTTACCTAATAATTAAAAATGAAATTATTTAATTTTCAATTTTCTTTCACTTTACAATTACAATAATTAAAATAAAATAAAATAATTTTGTTTTAAATTTTATTTTGCTCTACAACTATTACAATTACAATTACCTACAATTTTCAGAATAGTTTGACAGAAATTATTTACTTTCAATTTTCTTTCTCTTTACACATAATAAGAATTACATTTATTTTCACTTACCATGGCGCCCACTTCCGAGATTAAAAAGTTAGAGGCTAAGAGAAGCGTTTATTTGTCACGCATTACAGAGGTTTGTCGTCTCGCTGTTCAAGCGAAGACGGATAAAAGCATGTTAGGGCAACTTCACGCCCGGTATAGAGACCTAAAGGATCATTATGAAAAGTTTGGGAAGCTACATAATGAAATAATCATAGAGGTTTCTGAGGAAGGTGACTTCAAAGCTCAAGACAAAATAAGGAAAGACATCGACAATTACTATTACGAAACGATTTACACGACACTCTTTCCTCAGATAAATACTCAAGGTACGTCGGCGTCGACTGCTCAATCCAACGTCGTTTCATCTATAAAGCTTCCACAAATAAACTTGCCTATTTTCAAGGGTGACCAAAAGCTTTGGCCCTCCTTTTACGACCTTTACAAAAAACTAATTCATGAAAATCCTTCTTTGTCTGATGTAGAAAAATTACAATATCTCTTTGCCTATTTAGTGTGATCTACACCATACTATACCGCCTAAAGCTTTTAGGCGGTATAGTATGGTGTAGATCAAGACTTATTTTGACTTTGCCTCCCACTTTGGTGTCACAAGCTGAATTTTTGAGGGATGAAAGTACATGATAAGGTAACCCTTATTCCGGAGGTAACACAAAATTGGAGTGTGGAAAAGGGCACTATCATCAAAAATCGAGATATTGATACCACCGTATAGAGAAAAAATACTTTATTATTGGTCCAATGCACAATAAGGTCATTGTAGGGAGTATTTTTTTTATAATCATTCAAAAAAAATAATTACCATTAGCTCTTATGGCCGAAAAAAACTTTTAACGTAAATAGGTATCTCGGTTTCAATCGTGCAAAAATTTGGTTAAAAATCATCTTTTTTAAATATACCTTTCATTTAACGAAAAACGAAGGCTTAAATGAAATAAAAAAAAATCTTTATAAAAGTTTCGCTTATGTATTGTCCAGATAACAGTGCAAACCACATATTTTTTGCTTAACAAAGATATAACAATAAACAATAAGAGATGTCAAGGGTTTATAGGAGACCAAGATCTAACCGCCGAGTCTCTCGACGCGCTATGCATCTCTCTCAGTGTTGATGCGTATGGGATCTCTTTAACTCTGTTACATTATTTTATACAGGGATTATTAATTATTCCAATTGGAGGCGAAGAATGTTTCATAGGGTGTATGGTGTATTACTTTATAATTTGCCTTTGAGAAAAATAAAAAATAATAAGATAAATTATTCATATTATCAAAATACATATACCTACAGGGTGTTTCATGAATATCAAAACAAAGGCGTTTTAGGGTATTTAAGGTCGATTAAAAAAACCGCTCGGACACGTCAACTTTGTATTCAAGAATAAAACTTTCCGACCCTATCGGGTGGGGTGACTTTAACCCTTCCTTTTCAGATAGGGTAGTACTGAAGATGGGTCGAGTAGTACTAAAACTGTATTTTGATTCTCGTCACAAGTGCGTATTTTTTTTTGAAAATCTCAAGATATTCACTGTCAGCGTTGCTATGGGCTAAATAAGAAACAATTTTATGGCCCTGGTATTCTCAAATTAACACTTCCCCTAGTAATTTTCACTGAATCGAGACTTTGACTGAGTTTCAACCCCATCGACATGGAAAAGCAAGAAAAAAATTGATCCTTCAATGTTGAACATTTAGAAAATTCTGCTATTCGAAAGATCTTCAAAACAAGATGCTACTCAGCCCACACCCTCTATCATAATAATGGGGGAGAAAATCACCCTCAATACAAAAAAAAAAGAATCACATGCGGAGTTTCAACGAGAATTAAAATACCTTTAAAACAAACTACCATTCGACCTGGACCTACCTTCCATATCTTGATGAAAAGGGTGAACGTTACCTTTCATAGAGGGGGATGGGATGAAAAAACAAATTGAAATTATTAGAAAAGTGCTTCTGAAAAAATGAAAATTGACTTATCCGAGAGGCAAATGTTAATTTGAGAATAACAGGGCAAGAATAGTTATTTATGTATCAAGGGAATTATGCAGGTGTTAATACCCCAGGGCAACGTTTGTGTCCCTCGGGCCGGAGCCCCGAGGGACACCAATTGCCCGTGGGTATTAACTCCTGATAATTCCCGTGGTACATAGATAATTTTATATCCTACTGAATTTACTGTATTCTGTCTATTTTTATAAAGGAATAAGCCATAAATCAAAATTTCTATTTTTTGTCAAAGTGTTACCTATTCAAGGTAAAAGCGGGAGTTATGGAAATCCTTAACTCCCTTGGGAGTTATGATATCCTTAACTCCCTTGGGAGTTATGAAAATCCTTAACTCCCTTGGGAGTTAAGACCCTGTTTATGATTATCGTAACCAAGGTATTATATGGTTTTAATAGTTCAGTAGGATATAAAATTATTTTATTTCCTACTGAACTGTTATAACCATATAATACCTTGGTTACGACAATCATAAACAGGGTCTTAACTCCCAAGGGAGTTAAGGATTTCATAACTCCCGCGCGGGAGTTAAGGATATCATAACTCCCAACAAGGGCGTACCCAGGATCTGAAATAGGGGGGGGGGGGGCTGACCAAAAAAAAAAACAATGGATTTTGCATTTCTCTTTTTAATTACTAAATTTTGACATAACTC